GTCGAAAACGCTGTAAGATTGCAAGATGTCTTACGAGACACGTGATAAACGTCTTGAAGACGTTTCTTCGATAAGTGGGTTATTGGGACGAGTAAAGTGCTAGCGCTCCGGAGGAAAGAAGAAAGATAAAAGGAAAGACCTTCGAATGCACCGAAGGATTTGCTGACGTTCGAGGCGTCATGTAAGATAACCACGTCCGTATAGTAAACTATTATCTGTCCACCATATGCTTCCATTATTCCGGTTATCTGCTTCCTCGTACTTGCGTAACATGTATTCTCATAAGCTTGAGCATTTCTATTTTATTCGTCGCAGAGATAAACAGATACGCTCATCCTTGAATGAGAATTAATAGAAAGAACTGTGTCTCATATAATATTCATATTTTGAAATATTCTCTCTATTTATGGATTAAATATATTAACATTTATTATTGTATTCATAATATGTATATGTATCTAATATGATATTAATTATAATTGTTATGTATGTTGCATTAATTATTCTTTAATACCTTAAAATTATAATATTTATTACGTGAATTAAAATCAAATGAAAAATTATTGTTTACTCTTGCAACGCGATATTTTACTGTAATATTCTGCTTTAAAAAATGATCACGAGTTTCTCGGTTTTGTAACGCAATTTGGTATATATTTTTAATTCAATTTTATTTTAACGTAATTAATAATTGTTTTAACTGACTAATATCATTAAAAATCCTTTAGTCCAGAAAAGAGAAAGAGAAACAAGTCTCATGATTATTAGATAAAATAATATCGAAATATATATGTATATTTAAACGCTGAAGTAGAGACACAAAGCTCAAAATTGATTTGTTATTATATAGTATATTATTTTTTATTAATGCTTATATCCAAATATTTTTATATATTTTGATGTGAAGTATTAATTCTTTGTGATTCAACGACCTCGTTTAGGATAACTATCTTTTATTTTATAAATTACTCGCTTAATTTTTATGAAATTTAATCAATGAGCTAATTCTTTGATAATGCTTTAATCGAATCTGAATAATTTTAAATAAAAGATTCAAAATAATGAATTTAATATAATGAACAGAAATTATACGAAAAATAATTTGGTTATCATAAAATTCGATTTTAAAGAGTTTTTAATTGCAAAGTACAAATACGTATAATAATAGCACGTCAAAATTTCAGTTTTGCTTTATTAACTTATTTAAAACTCATCAGTGCTACATATCTAAACAATTAGTAGATACTAATTTCCTAACACTGACTTTCATAAAAACTTATTACTTTCAAACTCTGATTATGAACAATTATTACAAACAATTTCCAAACTAACTTTCGAACTCTGCAATTATGACAATTATTATGACTTTGTGACACTAGATTCTCCTTCATGATTACTATCCTTTTGAAATTCGATATATTTCAGGTTAAAGAAATACTACATTCTTCACGATAGATTTTTTAAATTTGAATTTTAGAATTCCATAAAATCAAAATCGAATTTAATTCAGCGATTTCGGGAACTTTTAGAAAGCAAGATCTTCTGTAAGTTGTTGTATTAGAAAACTTCGGTACTGAAAGGTAGGGTCAAAGCTTTTTTGATTTTAGAAGAAAGATAATTGAGAGAGAGAGAGAGATTTTTTGGTTACAAGTCATTACTGCTTTTTATTTATATTTTTTTAAGAAAGTTAAAAACATTTTTTTAATTATTTAAATTGGATTAATTTAAATAATTAATTTAACTAATTAAATTTTAAAATGATTATATATTATTAAATTTTTATTCTTTTATTTAAAAAAATTTTTTTTACAAAAAGTGTTTTTTCTATTAATATATCTATAAAAAATAATGTGAGCACTAATTGATTTAGTATCCCTAAACAATAAATTGATTGACCATCCAACTCCATCTAGTGACGAATAAATAAAAGCAAAGCAAATATAATAAGAGATTGTGTTGCCATCTATCGCTATTGGATGCAATTAGATAATCAACAACAAAATAACGAGAAACTTGATAATTCCTCCTTTATCAATCAACGTGATTCGGCACTTTGCAGGGCGCGTTTTTTTCTTTCAAAATATTTATTTCCCTTTTTATCGATTGAGGACGAATTTAACCGTTTTCGTGTGAGATCGTAAGATGTTGTCAGCATTGAGATCGGTCGAAAATATTTACTACGCGCCGAGAGACGCCAAGACGAGAGGATTGTGGAAGTGTGGAGGACTGAGAGGAGACGCGTGACGATGCACGCGTGCCGAGTCGTCTAGCAATTTTCTCTTCAGCATACGATACAAAGTATTGCGGACGAGTTTGGATACGTAGCGGCACGACAGGAGAGTTGGCGTAGAGTGTTGCTGTTAGTCACCGTGTTCCGGATGTCGCGCGCCGTGTGGTAAACAGCGGTGAACACTGGTGCGTCTCGCGACGACGGTGGCGGGAAAGCGACGACTTGTCATCAGATCGTAATAAAACACGCGCAGAACCGTTTCTCTCGGAGCGAACGCAAATGGCACTGCTATTCACTAGCATGTGGGACTCGACGTTACTTCTGAATACCCTAACCCCAAAATTCTACGTCGCCCTCACCGGTACGTCGTCCCTCATCTCCGGTCTGATTCTCATCTTCGAATGGTGGTACTTCAGGAAGTACGGCACTTCGTTCATCGAGCAAGTGTCATTGAACCACATCTCGCCGTGGATCGGCGGAAGCGACAACGCTAACGATGGCAGTGGTACAAGCCTCAGCAACTCTGGAGGCTCCTCGAGTCACCAGAACGTGCCCGAGTGTAAAGTCTGGCGGAATCCGATTAATCTGTTCAGGGGCGCAGAGTATCAAAGATTTTACTGGGCTACTAACAAAGAGCCTCTCACATATTATGACATGAACTTGTCTGCACAGGATCATCAGACATTCTTTACCTGCGAAGGCGATACTGGTATGTTTCAAATGTATATAACTTTATTTGTCCATCGGAAACACTTGGAAATATCGATCGTTAATATTCTGTATTAAATGTATAATTATTTTAGTTATAATTATTATATGAAAAGTTTCAATATCTGTTAGAGATGCTTTCCAACAAAAAATAGATTTGATGTTTGAAGCTAAACTTCCATTATTCATTTTTCTTTCTTTTCTCTCAGTATTTGAGAAAAACAAAAGAGAAAAGAAACTGTGTAAAAAGAGTTCAGCCAAAAAGAATAGATCTTCTGTGTCTCTTGTTGAAAAGCATAAGTTAAAAATGTTTATTTCGAGATGTATGATAAATCAGAGATTAATTCTGTCCTTTTGATTCTAAGGTATTTCGAGAGATATTGAGCTAACAGACTCTTCTCTTACAGGTAAAGCAGAATATGAAATCATGCAAACGGCTTGGAGAGAGCGCAATCCAGTAGTGAGAATACAAGCGGCACACAGTGCTCTTGAGCGTAATCCCGATTGTGCACCAGCTTATATTCTTCTTGCGGAGGAAGAGGCCACGACTATCATCGAGGCAGAGAAGATTCTGAAACAAGCTTTGAAAGTGGCCGAAAATAATTATAAGAAATCGCAGAATACGCAACATCAGGGATCCGTAGCTGAGGCAATACACAGAAGAGACACAAATGTATTGATTTATATCAAAAGAAGATTAGCGATGTGCGCAAGGAAGTTAGGAAAACTTAAGGAGGCAGTGAAGATGTTTCGTGATCTCACAAAGGAGGTACCGCCCATCATGAATGTATTGAATATTCATGAGAACCTGATCGAAACTCTATTGGAGATGCAGGCATACGCGGATGTGCAAGCTGTTCTGGCCAAGTACGATGACATCAGTCTACCCAAATCAGCAACCATTTGCTACACAGCGGCGTTGCTGAAGGCTCGTCTGGTGGCGGACAAGTTTTCACCAGATATTGCTAGCAAACGCGGTCTGACCACCGCCGAGATGTCGGCGGTGGAGGCGATCCATCGGGCTGTAGAATTCAATCCTCACGTACCTAAATATCTCCTGGAGATGAAGCCACTCATCTTGCCTCCTGAGCATGTACTAAAACGTGGTGACTCCGAAGCGATTGCGTACGCGTTTTTCCATCTGGCACATTGGAAGCAGATAGAGGGTGCCTTAAATTTACTCCACTGTACTTGGGAGGGTACGTTCAGAATGTTACCTTATCCACTTGAACGTGGGCATCTGTTTTACCCATATCCAACGTGCACTGAATGCGCCGACCGGGAACTCCTGCCAACGTTCCACGACGTCAGTGTCTATCCGAAGAAGGAATTGCCCTTTTTTATTCTTTTCACCGCCGGTCTGTGCTCATTCACTGCACTGTTGGCTCTGTTGACTCATCAATACCCGGACACCATGGGCGTAGTTGCCCGTTCGATGCTTGCCTGGTTCTCCCATCCATTTTATTATCTTCTTGACAAACTAGCTATCTTGCCCTCTAATTTATTGCAGCAGCTCTCTAGAATATAAGGCTGTATTTCCATATGATCTCTATTAATGTAAGAACTTATTGTGATACTTACGACATACTTATTGCTTTATTTTTATTGTAGGCGCCTTTATGAGGTATGTACGTAAATGTGTAAAAAATTCCAATTTACCATTTTTGTCGTGACTGATACAGTACTGATATCTTATAACGACGATTATGTGTTTATGTACCGTTAAGTTCGAATCTGAATTCGAAACAACGGACAATGAGTATAACAGTAATAAGAATTTTAGACAGTAACGTTTTTGTTACGCGTATATATAATATATATATAAATTAGTAATATATATGTATGTATAAAATACGAAATAATTATATAAAATATGTATAATATCAATATATTGTATAATATATATGTATATATATATATTATATAATATATTATTATATGAAACATGTGAGAAAAGATGTATCATTGATCAATCATTACATCATCAGTACTAATATGCGGTTATACAAATTTATGTGAAATGGCAGTTGGGTGCTAAATAAATTCTCTTTGTTTTATCGCATTTATATTTATTCAATGATGGATATTACCAGTAGCTTGTAATGAGGTGAAAGATCAAGGCAAATCAGAGATCTTGACATTTCACGTGTCGACAGAATAGGAAGTAAATTCGGGCACGTTCAATCGACCAAAGCGAAAGGATTGATATCCCTTCGCGTGTTCTTCCGCAATCATTCTTACACAGCATATAACAACGAGAATATTAATATCCTTCACGTAATTACACGTATAATAATTATATTATACAATTTTTTTACGAGAGTCCGCCGAAATAAAAAATAAAAGACAACGTGTCACAAGTACGACGGATTAGTTTCGTATTCTCTCAATCATCCTATAATCATATCCGATTTCTGGTCTGCCTGTCTATTGTGAGACGGTTATGATAAGAGAAGAAGAGACAGCGGGAGCGCGAGAGAAAGATATAAGACACTTGGAAGTCAGAGGACCCAGGTCTCTCTGGTACTCCGGGCTAGCTCCAGCCGCAACTTTGATTTTGTTTCAAAAACATTCATTCTCGATTAAATTCTTAACTGATATAGTATAATAAGGTGAGATAAAATTTGTCATTTCATATATATGTACAATATCTCTTTATAGTTTATCTATATATATCTATATAATTTACTTAAACGGACATATGTACGTAAAACGTCACGCGAGGAATTACGATTAAATAATTATCTTCCGTACACAGCTACAACTCTCCTCGCATTCACAGCTATGAGAAAGGAAGGAAGAGGGAAGGGGGAATGAATGTTTACGTAATATAAGAACATGTAAAAACTTTCAAATGTGATCCTTAAGATTCGCTGTAGTATAATGCTTAGTCCTTAATTTCATACCGCGTGTACAATTAGCTGTATTTATCGAAGAATTACTAATCTACGAAATAGGAAATATTTTGAGTATTCACCTCCCGCTAGTATCCGAGTCTATCTTTTGTACGTAGCCTTCTCGCGCACTTGCTAAAATTACGTTAAAATTCCCCGGGATGGAAATTCGCTGATTCCGTCCTACCGTTTAGTAGGCTCTTTTTTTATTGCCGCAAATTATCTACGAAAGTCCACGCAGTGTTTCTCTCCTTCTTTTTTTTCTTTGCTATACATACAAATTACAGATTGTCCGCTTCACGCTCAATCAGCTTCACGCTAAGATTGCCACGTTAACACGTCACTTCACTGTGTCTAGGTTTGATCGTCTCCACATTTCTCTACACAAATAAGGCACCTTTAACAAATTACGCTGTTTATATAAGCTACACTCGATTTAGCAGTCTAACGCCCTCAGTCAATGACGTCACGTCTGCGCTGCGGCGATAGCTAATTCGTAATTTGTCAATCGAGGCATACGTAAACAACAGCAGTCTTAATGTATCGAACAAAAAACGTTATATATAGTGGATATATGTAATCAACTGGATACCAAAATTCTTATAGATCATTTCCTTCTTTCATCACCTAATTTCTCAAACGACGATAAATATTTTTAACTTTCAACGAAGCGCGCTCATTCTCTTCAACTAAGTCATGTTCTCTTAAGATATTCATATATTCCATTCATCTATCGAAGTTTCTTAATTTATCAAACGTCGAGATCGCTTTGAATTCTGCTAAAAATATTTCGTATCGTTCTTGCCCACCACGAAAGCAAGGAATAACGTCGAACTCAAAGAATAGCAATCTATTCGAATTCTATACGTTTAGCCTAATCGAGGCTATCTACATGTTCAAGAGGAAAGCGGTTTTTCCACTCTAAAACGTCATTTGTGCTTGTGGAATGCTAGAAAATAGCGTTGTCCAATCGAAATTTCAGCTTACATGCCCAGAAAAAACTTTCCGTCTTTTTCCCCGCTATCGTGCAATTGTTATAATACGAAAAATTACAATTTTTTATTTACACAATGAAACTAATAGAAGCTGTTTCTCAAAATATAGCATAATTTAAGCAAATACGTTTACCGAAGAAATTGTGAAAATATCTCTAACGCCAATTACAATAAACAGCAATATATAATTAAATGTCTTTTTTTACACACACGTTATCGTATTTTTATCATAACTTGTGAATATACGGAACAAATTTCCCGACACGATAGATTGACTATATGCTTACTGGCTGGCACGCAACTGCCGATTGGTCAACAGAGTTATTAAATAGATGTAAAAATTGTGGAAGAAGTACCACAACACATATTGATATCCTTTCTTTTTACCTCACGAAAGAGTTTTAACTGAAATGTGATAGACGGAGAAGATTGTTAATCTTGATATTAAAGAGTACCGTTTGCGAAATATTGATATCGATCATAGAGTTTAGTGGACCACGAGTGAATGCTGCCTTCGACTAAATCCTCAACATGTCGACGCAATTGATCCTCCGTTAACGTAAGGTGGAATCTATTCTTGAGACCTTGAACAGTTGCCGCTCCACCACTGCGGAAACACGGAAGCTGAGAGCCTGCGGAAAAAAAATCAATAAAACTCATTGAGTTATACGGGTTTAAAATGCACGCGAACAAATGTATGAACGGTCAGTACAGTTTCTAGTACTTACCCGACAACATGATCTCAACAAGGTTAACTATCTTCTCCATGTGCTTCCGCGCCGCAATTAAGCCTTGAAGAATGAGGCTCTTAAAGTCCTCGAAAAGTTTAGACTGATTGCCACCCATCACCTCGACAAATTCCGGCGTTAGTTTAAATGGGCTAGTCTCGAAACCGAGATTTCGCGGCGAAGTTGACAAAATGAATCCGAAATCTATATGGATTAAATGACCATCACTGTGCAGCAAAATGTTGCCATTGTGACGGTCTTTTACTTGAATAAGATAGCTGACGAGGCAATACGCGGCACAGCTCTGAATGAAATTCCTCTGCGCCATACGGAACGTCTCTGAGGTAGAATGGCCGAACTCTCGTTCGAAATATTGGAAAAGTGTTAATTGGCACTGCTTCTTCACTTGGTGGAGCGAGACGGTGTTCAGGATAGGTTCAATCAGACCACTATCGTTTGACAGACATAGTATTCTGTGACAAAAAATCAAATTATTACTCAAGAGAAAAATCGTCGAATATTATTATACAATGAATTTATTATCAACTAATAATTATTTCCTCAATAGAGGAGAACAATTAACTTTTTTCACAAGACGAAAATTTCCAGTAGTAACTTGTACTTACTTATACGGTCGTACCCAAAGGGGCACTTGTTCATCTTGCCAAATCTTTTGCAACATTGAGAGCAACTGTGAGGCGAGAAGTTCTTGTCTGAGATCATCACCGCATTTTACAATTACCGCGAGTAATCTCCAAGATGCCAAGTGCCCATATGGACTGGAAGCTCTTATGCGTCGTTGCTTCAGCTCCCATGGCTCCTTGAGAACCGCTGCCGATGGATCCTCGGGATCATGACTGAAAGTTGCGCTCGGCGTAGCTGCCATTTCGCTCAATCTTCTTTTAATGTCGCCCGGTATAAAAATTGGTTCCCTGCTGTCGGACGATTCTTGACTCAGTTGCGATATAGTATCACGATCTTTTGGTTTACGAAGCTGTAAATACTGAACAAATGGAAAAGTTAGACTATAAATCAGAATTAAAGAAATACAATAAGGTCACTCGAATAAGATATATACCTGCTGTGTGATCTCGTCGTCTTCCTGACTCCAACAATCATTAGGATCGTCATCGGGGAAACCAAATGCCACATCTGTATTCCTAACAGAATAAGGCGAGATATTTTTTACAGGAGTTTGTCGTACCGCCGAATTCTGTTGACTATCTGAAGTGGATATGTTAGACTGTTCACCGCCTGTTAAGTTCTCCTCAGACTTAGTGTGCCTTAACGAGCTGCCCATTATTTTCGTCGGCACAGGCGATGTATATAAATCCTCCACCTCTAATACTTCCATATATATTATATAAGGTGCCTAGAATAGTATATCGATATTCAAACGATTTGCAGTAGTGATGAGAAAGTGAAACGAAATGTCTGTACCTTGTCTTTGCTATTAAGAACGGCAGCATATTGTGGCGGAACTCGCACGATATGATGCGGTAGCGTACTGTGCAGAGGAAGCCACACCCTCGCAGGGAGATTCAAATTAAGCGTATTGAGCTCTGCCACTAATTGAACGGTTTTACTTTCCTTTGTTGGGATAGTCCCGAGCAATTTACCAATTGATATTAGAGCTTGAATAAATTCGAGTTCTGGCGCGAGTCGGGGTGCCTGAAAATATATCATATCATACAAGATTTATGTTAAAGCTTCAAATAGAACGCTTGCTACTTTCGTACAAGATAATAACTCACATTACAAAAACAATCGGTTTTTTGGCCTCGCAAATCGTTAACCACACCTTGGCAGGAATAGAAGCAGGTACAGCCGTTGTCAAACGCTCGACCAGAGCTCAGGTCCCCAAGACTTACTTTATTTATTATACCTTTTAAAGAATACCCCATTGAATAATCACACATTGTGAAAATAATTCTCATAACGTATAATTTATTGGTTTAAAATGCGTGTTAGTTTAAATAATTACCGGAATGACTACGGCGTATAGTCTGGAATAATCCAGTAGCGTCGGACTGAGATCTTTGGTGAGTTTTCTTATTCGGCGACGTAAGAGTTTGCGTCGAAGGCAATGGTGATGGTGCTGGAATTTGCAATCCAGCAACACGCTGCTTTCGACTCTCATTTCCCTTTGGCCTAAAACATAACACATAGAAATAAATTGTTTGCTTAAAATATTCACATACGATTGTGTGTTCACATGAATCATTAATCTATAAAAATTTCCAAAATACAAAATTTTTTCATTATTTTACTGTTTATTAATCCTACCTGAGTTCATCTGATAGGATGAGATTTTTCAATTTGGTCCCATGAGACTTCTTCTTTGACGGTAAATGAGCATCAGAACTGTAAGCGTCTAGCAGCCAGGCACATTTTAATGAGAAATCTGCTGACTGTCTACATCTGCAAAGAAATTCGTTTAGTTTCAATCCATCCAAATTATAATGCCACGATTTATTAAATACGTAATTACACATAAATGATCTTCTAATAAAGATTCTGTATTTACCTATGGACAAGATATGGATAAAGAACTTCTGTTACATCGTGAAGTTGTATATACATCACAACTAACTGTGGTAAATAAAAATCCACATCGTTATCCGGAAAACTGAACATCTTGTTACCTACAATATGACATATTTACCATCAACAGAGTGCATTAAAAACTTTTTATTTCACAATATTTAAAAAGTTATATATGAGATTAAATTCAAATATGATACGTGAAAAAAACTTTTTCTGATGTTTACCTAGATAACTCTGAACGCCAGGTTCTTTGGAATTGAACAGATAAGATATAGCCATGGACATGTCAAATATCTGGCTCTCGAAAAGTCGCAACAGACAGCCTTCGGAAGGTTTCGGTTGCTTCGTCTCTTGTTTTTGTCGACGGATGATGTCCGATTGCTTTTTCACCGTTTCAACTTCTTGCTGCTGCGTTGCAGTCGTGCCGCAGCAAAGGGTCATGGCCGCTCCAGCCAATTCACTCTGGCTCGTATCGGCCACGGACGGCGATGACGACACTTGCATAGCGCCTTGATAAATATCGACGCATTCCTGATAGTCATGTTGATTATCGTTGCCACGTTCTCGCACACTCACATTTGATCGCGGTTCCTTCGAGCAACATTTACCATCGTTCGCGTCGTCGCACCGGGAACGATCCCCGTTGTTTTCGTTCTCGGGGGATACAGGAGACGCTGGACTGTCACTGAGACGCGTGGACAGTTCTACAGGTGACACCGGCACTGACATCGACATTGACACTATACCGGCACTGTTCTCCATACCGTCCACTGCATCGACCGAATATACGTCACCCGGCTGCGACACGGATGAATCGAGGCTCTCACGACTGTGCAGATGATCCACGCTGGATTCGCGAGTAGCGGGCGCGTTCGTGGCGTCGCTCGAGCCGCTGTCGGAGCCACAGAGTATACCGGAGTCGTCGGAACCGAGACTGGCCAGATCTTCGCGTTCTCGCGCAGTGCGCGCGCTCTTTCCGCATGGTCCCGAGGACGACGATGATACCGTTGTCGTTTTAGAGACCGACGAAGGTGCGGGATTCTCGCATTCCGGACTCGGGGTAACGTCCACTTCTGGAATCCGTTGCAGAGCGGAGTCCAAACTCCGATTTCTATGATGGTGTGTCAGCGTTGTTGCGGTTGCCTGAGGCACCGGCGGTAATAGGATACCCATTGATCTACAAGTAATAAGATGTATAATTAATAATCAAGGTATTTTCTCGACTACGCTGCGTAAATTACAATATTTCGAATTTTGCAAATGTATAGTACTTATGATTTTTTAATACAAGAAAAAAGAAGATAAAAATACAAGGTGTTTTGTAGAGCAATATGTTTTCTATATAACAACCTGTATAATTAATATATTTATTTAACTTCTCTATTTCATTTTACAAATATGTGTTTGATGTCCTTAATATCACTATCACTCATGTAATATTGCAATATCACTATTCTGCATTACTTTTTAATGCTTTAAACACTGTATTTTTACGTTTATAAAATCAATTTTTTAATATACTAATAAGTACACTTTGTATTTTTTCTTCTTTTTTTGTGTTGCAAAAGAGTTTCATCATCTATGTTATTAGCGTATTAAACGTATTTTTTTATAAGTAATATTTAAACATTTCTTGTGTACGTTTTTATATTCTTCGTTAAGATTTCTTTTTGAACTGAGAAGAATTGCACAAAACATCAGCTAGCTCCAGTTTCCAGTTGGCGACTGCGAAAGTGCGACTGACAAGGAAAATAGATACAACAGTGCCGCGGCGCGTGATTGCGATTATTCGTTGCGGTGATTATTAATATTGATGACGCTGTCGCCGTCGCTGCCAATTTAAATATCTCGGCTTGTATTCCTTCATTTCACATGCGACGTAACTTCCACGTCGATTCCGACGTCGTGGACGCCGTGGCGTCGATCGCATACACGAGACAAATTTACGATCGCTTTTATTCAACAAGTGCCAGGAAATGTCGGAGGCGCGCGCCAGACGCGTCACAAATAGCTCGCGCGTGTGTCGCGGAACGACCTCGTCGAGTATTCACGGGGATCGGAAGAAACAAATACCTGAAGTCCAAACTGTGGTTTCGTTGATGCGTGGTCAGTCTGCTGCGTGGACTGATCGACGGATTCGGCCGACCGTGCACGAGAGGAACATTACAGCTGGCCAGTTTGTGCCGTTTGATGTGTGTCACGCTTTCCTGGCGCGTAGGTCCACCAGTCGGCGTCACTGCCACCACTTCGCTCATATTAGAGTCGAGTACGAGCATCGGCTCGGCTAACAGTCATCTGCTGGCCATGCTGGGGCTTCACCTACAAAACGCAAGAAATGAATCAGCGACATTTCTCGAACGTCAAAAATATGCATCATGTTAAAAAAGATTCTATTTGACATATTATTATAAATATAAAAATATAGGAAAACAACTTTATCATGTATATCCAGACTACGTTATACATATTTACTTGTAAGTACGGATCATTTCAACAAGATTGCAGCTATGTTGCTTAATCAATATTTATTGTTTAAGTAAATATAACGCAGTCTGGATCTGGATATATGATAAAATTGTTTTCCTATATTTTTATATTTAATATGTCAAATGGAAACTTTTCTTTGCATTGATGCTTCTTTGTGTCATTTAATATATCCAAGCATCGTGTAACAAAATGATACAAAGTATCCCATGATACAGCATAGAACTTGCAACAACATTGCTAGAACATTGTATAATATTGCTGAAATAATTTGTACTGTGATATGTATGTAAACTACTATGCACACTCTTTCTTTATGCACAATTCTGAAGCGATTTTTCGATAATTATACGGTAAAGAATTACGGCATGGATATACTATAATAAATGATGCTAATTAATGTTAATCCCCTTAGTACACATGATGAGTCATTCGTGTCCCGGCTTAATTCTCATCAGTTTAACAAATATACAAAAATTATTAAGTGAGTTGTTAGATTATTATTATTAAGTGATTCTTACAGATAGACTTTAACATCTTTAAAAAGTATTTATACACGTAGAAAAATATTTATGATATTTACATTAATAATATTTACTTGTTTCAAGTGTTATATTTCAAAAGTTCCACAAATCTACCATAATAATTAAGTTCATCACAAGCATCAAACTTATTCAAACTATTTTCTGAATCCTAGTAATTTTTACTGAAGTTTAATACTTCAATCAAGATGATTAAATTAAAACAAATTCGATTTACTTTTATTACATATAAAGTTGCTTCTTCAATTTCGATTTTACAGTATTCTTTAGAAAATAACTTCTTATTCTTAATATACAATAACAAGTTTTTCTAAAATGTGTAAAATATATTTTACAATTATTTACAAAAAACTATTGTCGTTTATTAAAAGTAACCGTTATTTAAAAGAAAGGAAATTAATTGATTAATCATTTTTTTTAGCAACAGAATGATATTTTTCTGTACGTAAATATTGTCTTAAAAAATCATATATAAATGTTATAATAGTGTCAAATAATTAGTTACCAATTAATAACTAGTTGATTATAATATAATTAATCATTTAATGCTCCTAGTTTTTCGAAATGTGTAGTACATGAACGACCCAATCGTGTGTGTACTAAGGATTAAGTAACGCTAAGTATCAGGTACTTAGTATATCAGAAAAGCGTAAAGAAAATTAAATGGCTCGCTCGATTTCTGCACGCGACGATATCGTAACTCGAGAGACGATAAACTTATTTCCGGTATTCTCATTATTTTTGAAAACGTTATGATTGATAACAGCGAATGATATCATTTTTTGAACTTGTGACACAAATATCGCGCATATAACTTGGGTCGTAATGTCAACGATTGCTCAAGCACGAAGAAGAACACGCTCGGATAACACGCGTCCAATTCCGTTATCAGTCGCGCCTGTCAAATATTGCGATAAGGAAATCGGTATCTCGAATCGGAGAGAGGGTTCATATCTCTTAATTAATACATACGACAAAGAGAGGTACGCCGCGATATGTTTTGATTACATAACGTCTCGATATCGCGAAAAAAGAACCACGCGCAGGAACAGCCGCAAAACTAAGCTACCAGAAATCGTGCATCTGTCTGGAAGGCCAATCGCGCCGTTTTAATGTGTGGATAAAACGCGAAATTAAAACTTCCTTCGAGAAATAAGTGTTCATGACGAATTGAATTCCGTCTAGTCCGTACAAATGTCGCTTCAAACGATACGATTAAATATAATATCTTATAATTCAGGCGAAATTTTAAACCGTTCTGCAGAAATCAGAGATTGAAAAGAGAAAGCGAAGAATCTGCAATCTTGAAAAGTCTGCAGCTTTACGATATATAATCCTGACGTTCCTTTGAATATGAATATTAAGTAGCTGGAGAATAAATCTCTTTTTATAGAAATCATCAAGCAATCATTAATCACGCGAAATAATATTTCGCTGCTCCAGCTAGAATCGCCGCTGTTTTTTCAATGGAAGAAAATTATATATCACATAGATGTAGAATTCATTACAAAAAATATTCTATATTTTATCATCTGATTGAGTGTTACAAAAAGACTTTCTTGATATCACATAAATATGACAAATGATTCAGACATTAAATTCTGTCATCTATATTGATTAAATGCAAAATATATCCAATATCGCAATGCTTTCTAATCCATTTTAGCGAAACGTGATCGTTGAGTGTAAAGACGTATGCACAAAAAGAGCAGCTTTGTTGGGATATTTAAAAACTTAGCTTTTTGCTGAGAGCTATGAAAATAATAATTACATAGGACGCTCAAGCAGACCGCTAATAAATGTTAAAACTTTTTGCAGCATCGTGTTTGAATTTTCTGTATAGTTACTTTATAGTCCAATAAAATTATATTAAAATTTGCATCTACCTAAAGTTTGAGATATTTCAACACAATTGTACTTTTCGTGCATATATGCGTTTTGAAATGATCACGGACAACAATTGAGTAAAAGGTCGACGAAAAGTCAAAGGGATTTTTGTTGAATTATCCGCGTTGCAACGGTAACGTATTGAAAAAGTCATGATACGTGCAATACAGACGTGTAGAAAGTGCGGCTTTTTATCAATTCGAACACTTTCTAGGATCTTCCTGGCGCAGTATAGCGCGCTCCATTCTGTACACAATTATCCCGCGGGTAAATAAACGCGAGTACAAAAGACGATGCAATATTCCCGGTTACGTAGTGAGTTACATGGAGAATAAGCGCTTCAACGAAAAAAAAAAAAAACTCATTCTCTGAACTTTTCTGCGTCGAACGTGAAAACCGCGTATATTATACTTTGAAGCTGTACGTTAATAAAACGCTTCGACTAATGATTTTTCATAATAAATTCTCGCGATGTCAAATATTTTAATAAAATTTAATATTCAACGATCCTTTATTTTTCAAGTGAACGTATGTTTCTGAAACTTGTGAAAACTCGCCAAACGAGCTGAGACTCACTCACCGAGTGAGTTTCACAATCTATATAGAACGAATTTGAGAGACGCTCAAGTTGTGTGAGAAGTACAAACAATAGAGAGTCGAAAACATTAAAACACTAAACTCTCTGACAGGCTTTAAAATAATCCCTCTAATTGCGCAAACGTGCCGTCAACGAAGCTAACTATCTATTAACCGCTATTTCTTCATCCGAGGGTCCATCTAGTACGAACATTAACTGCCGAGTGAGAAGTTTACTCCCACTGTCTTTTACGTTGTTACATTTTCAAAACGACGAATTACTTGTTCACGTGACAAAAAAGATTGTGCGTATGGTATTTGAAAGATCGCGGCGCGCGGGTGTTACGATGCGGAACCGCGGTTTCTATCTCGACGTACGGATCGGTTGCGCGTTGCAAAATCCGCCGACTTGAAACTCGCGACATGCGTGGTACCATGTGCTTTCACCGATCTGCTTCGGTGCCGGTGTGTACTCGACGGTACGAATGTACTCGTTCCATGAGCTCCAAAAATGCGATGAAAACGATCGACATCGTTCCCAACCGTACACTGTCTTCTTGCGTTTATTTATCACGGAATAATATTCATTTTATAAAAAGATTAAAAGCGCGAAACAGGTTTAAGGATCGACGTAATAAAAAAAAACGTAAAGGCCTGCGAGTTACATCAGCGCGCCGCTTTAAATGGATACACACGTATATCTATCGTTTTATATACATATATATATATATATATATATATATACCTATATATACAATTCCGGTTGATACTTGAACTGGTTCGTTCAATCTCACTTGTCGATACCGGATGTCGATACGTCACATCGAAGCGAATCGTTTATATCTTAATGGACTTTCAGTATCTATAATTATTACATTAAATTTCGTAACCATCATGTCTAATAATTTATATAAAATCGATTATTTTAAATAAATAATTAATTAAGATTGTTTATTATTTCCACGTCAATCCATATGGAAATAATTTAAATACATATAATTACAGAGCACTTTATTATTTGCCTCTTGGCAATGTCGAGAGAGAAATTTAATGTCCCGCATAGTTAAAAGATTAATTTCTTAAATCATGGTGCGATAATTATCGCTGCTACTCAATCTTTTTATGATTATCATGTTACATCAATACTATTATATTCGCGGATAAAAAGGGAGATAGCTTTTTTCTTTAAACTATCGCGGCACAACGAACGCGGAGGCGGACATGAATGCAACTCCCTGTATGCGAATTACGATGATCTAATCACCTCGATGATCTAATAATTGGCGTCGGTGACCGAGCGGCTTTAGCGACTTTTGGAAGCGTGCGATTAACACGCGAGCGTTTTCGCACGCGTAGGTGCGAAACCCGCGCTAGAAAGTCGCGTGTTGAAACTCCGCGAGAAACGGCAATTCGAAGATCTCCTTTTATAAACGACTTTTGCGAAGCGAAGGACACAACACGTTCGCGGAAGAAGCTCGCGGGCGATTATATTATCGTCGCGAAGCGAAACAATGACTGCGTTCAGCAAAAAAAGATAACCTTGCAACTATACTGTAAGATTCTTTATTAAGATTGATTTATACATTTGTACTACATGTAGGTCTAGTAAAGAACCTTGCTCTATAAGAGATCATAAACGCCAGGAAGGCGTAAAAAGTTGACCAATCACAGTCGGATGTGAGGAAAACAGTCGACTATATCTTACGGCTTAAGCTTCAATTTTACGTCTTAAAATCTCATTGTGCATTGTTAAATTCATAATGTTAAATTACGTCCAATTTGAGTTACTTTTAACCATTTCTATACGTCGCCACTGCGCTTACCAACATATCGTTAATTTGACTGAAACAAACAAGTTGAATAATTTACTCAAGAAAACGTATTAAATTTAGTTCATTATTCACTAAATATATAATTATAATATGGATGTTTACTTTGAAAATGACCACAAGAAATTGATTGATTTAGATTTCGAGAGACACGCGTCAAAGTTAAAAGTAATAAAATGTTATTTAACTCAAAGGATAGCCACTATTTTTTAAATATCAATGTAGCCACTTTAAAGAATTTTAAAAGGCTGCTTTTTCTGCTGAACGTAACCAATGTTCTATGTGCGATTTACGTAAAGCAGGACGTAAAACGATGCGAAATCAGATTGTTCCGAACGAATGAAAGATCTCACACAGTTAAGCGGCAACCAGGGAAGAAAAGGGACTCGATTGAAAGCATCTGATTTAAAAGTGTCTATAAAAAAACACTTGGAATCTTTCTCGTTTATGTACATATATAAGCAAATCATTTCAGAGATTTATAAATTAAAATCTTTGAGCCGACAGAGACAACAATCGCTCGATTTTCGATAATCAAGCAGATCAAGTTCCATTTACTTAATGCGTACATATCTTCGCGAAATCAAATGCATGCGGGAAATCGTTAATTAGACATCTTATAATGCCTCATCGAGGGCCCTTCTAACTATAGTTCTAACTCTCTAAAACTTTTAGAGCAAATCTTACCTCCGAAGAGTGAAATTTCACTCTTAAAGATCGGAAATGGAGCCTACATTCTTCATCAAAATCGACTCAATTTTCGCTCTTTAAAGTAAGATTCTATTTCAAAGAATTTGGAGAGAACTTTGTAAGTTCTACGATGGAGAGGAAGAGGTTAAAATTTCGCGACGCGTATCTCGACAAAGTCTGTCTGTCTGTCTGGCCTCGTGACATTTCTGACAGTCTTTGCGAAACTTGAACGTCAACGTCGCGAAACCTTGCATGCAAAGAAACTTTTCGAGTCGTCTTTAATATGGATCTCGTAGCGGTTAAAATTCATGGAATTTCTTGTTTCTGATACGATGAATATCGAAATTCAATGTCTGATGCAACCGTATAAATTATCGCTACCGCCACCATTCTTCACGTGACACTATTTATCATATCCAAAACATACTATCGTAAAGGCCATTTTACAGCCAACTGCTGTTCTCATTGAGCAAGCACGATCAACCTTCTGAATATAATTAACAGACAGAACAGTGCTAAATCAATATTAGATAAATCTAATCGTCGGTTATCTGATAGAAATAATCTGCTGTAATTTCCATTTTCAATGCTACGGCAATGGTGGTAAAGTTATCGCGACAAGTAAACAAAGATCATTATTTTCGATAATGGAATTCAGATTATTTGAAGAAAAATTCGAATTAAAATAACTCGTAATAATAATGCACATTTGAATTACAATATTTCAAATATACATATAAGAAAAATGTTCCGATTAAATCAACAGGATTCTTCCTGTTTTTCTTCTTGTTTCTACAAGAATGGCATTTTAATGAGATCAAACAGAATTTCTGGTTATTTGTTCGGTTTCATCAAAATGCCATTCTTCTTGAGGATTGTCTCAAATTTCTCATTCTCTAAAATTATGTATCTTTTTCTTGATTTTTAGACAAGATTTTACGATTTGCTCTGATACTTTTAATATTTTGAATTTTTTTCGTATTTCTACTCTGATTTAAAAATCAATAAAATATTTTGTTATTGTTTGTGCTGCTAACATCTGTATTCAATTATTAAATTAATAGTATTCCAAAACTACGTGTGATGTACGCATATTAAACTTTTTTAAAATTAAAAATTTTAATTTTCCAGAAAATTTTGCAAAATTCTATGACTTCTCTCTGATTTTACAGACAGTTTTCAATTTTCATGACATTTCTCTTATTTCCAACTTAGTGGAAACTCTCGTGTTAAATCCTTTTGTTAATTTAATCAGAATATTGTTTTAATACATGTACAGGCATAATCAAGACATTTTTGATATCGAAATAATACAATACAACAAGAACAATTTTGCTGAAGTATTTAAAAGTTTAGCTGTAGATACAGCACTGAAAATACCTCAGTTAAGTCATAAAAATAATTATATAGGACGCCAAAACTGACAGCGAGAATGTCAAAACTTTACGCAGCAGTGCTCAGCACGCTTGAAGCTTCTACGTAATTATTTTGATAGCCCAAAATTATTTTCAGATTTATATCTAGCTAAATTTTCAGATACCTCAGCAAGATGATTCTTTCCGTGCGCTTAGCATTGAAATAACTAACAATTACATCTCGAGTCTCTCTTAAACGTCCTTAAAGCCGGCAATAGATGAACACACGCACGCACACAGAACAATTTTCGCGTGCTGTGTTGCATCGAAATCTAAAAGTATGCGGCTTGCAATATCTGACTGATCCCTGTTAACAAGATATACATAATCGTCGCATGCTCCTTTCCCGCAACGCAGAATCCGCGACGGTGAGATCTTTTGCGATTTCGATCTATGCGCTCTGTACTGCCTCTCCGTCTCGCCGCGCCGCGCGAGCGTCTCCTGGCACCATCACCTCCGCTCCGCTCCGCTCCGCGCCGCCAGCTCGCTCGCTCGCTCGCCCGCGCAGCGAGATGGGTGTGCCATGTTAGCAAGAGCGAGCTTCCTGTCGATCTTGTGCGTGTTGACAGAACATTGGAAAATCCACACCCCCGTCGCCGGTCGCTGTCGCGCCGTTCTTCGTGACGGAATCAATTACCGTCGCCGCGCTACGCCACGCTACGCCACGCTACGGCGCGACGCGACGCGACGCGACGCGACGTAAACGTCAAACCTCGCCGTCAACGTCAACTCGTTGGCACTCACCTCGCGCTCGAATCCAGGATCCCGGAGCTACGATGCTACCGACATGCCACAGCCTGCCGTCGTTCGATCTTGGCCGCCTAGCCGCGAGCCGAGTTTCACGGCGACGACGCGTGGGGACGTGTTCGCCGCGGCCGGGGACCAAGTGCGAAAGAGACGGACGGAGGAGGAGGAGGAGGGAAGGGTGTATCGTCCCGTCTCGTCTATTGTATCACCCTTTCGCGTGGAATGTGAACACCAACGAGCACGAAGTACACCGGGTATAGGCACTAGGCACAGCGCGACACTCTTCGCTCGCACTTCGTAATGGCAGCGAGCAGCAACGACGGGATCGTAGCACAGGGATCGGGGCTTCCAGGGCACTTTACGCACTTCCGCACGCACGCCCGTGTCGTTTTTCCCTGCCGCCGGCTACGCCCAACAACGCGCGTCGATCGCGGCTCCGTCGCGGGCGCGATGCGCGCGATGCATCGCGAGGGACGACCGCGACGAGCGGATCGGAGGAAATCCCAGCGACGATGCACCCGACGGCGATGGCGCGCTTGGTCGACGATCCGGCGGCTGGGTCGTCCCGCGCCGTACAGGAAGGAGCGTTCACGCTTCGATCGTACCGAAACGACGCTGGGAGACGATGATGACTGCGAGACGACGACGACGACGACGACGAGCCGCTTTATCCACACCAACACCCCGGACGTTGTTGTCTGTCGCACGACGCATTGAGCACTGACTCGGCGCGGCGCACTGCTGCCAACCGCGGCGGACGTGAAGTGAACTCTGGCCGGCCTGAATCACGGCTGCGCCGTCCAGGGATGTGCCTAGCCGGACGACGAACCCCACGCGAATATGACAAACGACGGCTTTCTCGATTCTTCGTTTTTTTTTTTTTTTTTTGAAACCCTGGCTGGATTCAATAGAAGAAGAAAAACAGCGACTGCGTAAGATTCTCTAATATGATTGATTTAGATGATCCGCTGAGGAAATTGTAACAGGGCTTTAATTACATTAAAGAAATTTACATTGCTCTTTGTGCTGAACGTAGCCTATGAGAAACGCCCCGTTTTAAATCACGATGGAAGAAAACCATGCGTTGAATGGCATTTCCGTTGATGCGCATATTTCTCGACGAGGTACGCTTTCGGATCTAAATGACTTACGCATCATGAACTCACCTCGTCGAGATAAAAACGATAAGGTGTTTTACGAATTATATAGTATCTCCCGATAATTGTTTCTTATCGGTTCGTATTACTTTCGAATTCAATTAAGTTTTGTATCTGACTATTTCCTCTATATAATTTTTTAAAAATAAACTTTCGTTCACAACACGTATAACAATCTCTAATCTATATTGTCGATACATTTTTTTACGTTTCATTTTACATATATATTGGTTGAGCTCACACATTCAATGTATCGAATAGGTATTTATTAATTAAAAAAGTTTACATTTTTTAACTATAATGAATACTCAGTAAAATTAAAACTTTTGTGCTCTATTTAATGTTCTAAAAAATAAATTGATTTTAAACACTCTCTACGACTCGTTTTTAGCTGTTGACTTATTAATATGTTTTTGAAATAAACTTTTGTCACAATAAAATATGTATAGACTATAGACGTCAAAGCATTTTAACGTTGACTCATGTTTAAACTGAATTCAGCCGAAGTCTAAGTGACTCATTGCTTTAGTTTTAAAAACCATTGATAACGAAATATGAATATTCTTGTTTCGCTTGAAACACTCCATTTGATTCACATGTGCGTACTGCGTACACGCGTGTTAAACATCCTACGTCATTTGACGCACCGTTGAAAACCGATGCAAGTCCCTTTGGAGCGCGTTAAAATTCCATACTCTAATTAATGATATCGCATTCGCGCGACCCGGACCCCAATCGTCGTAAATTTAAATGACCGTATCTATAAAGAGGGAGAGACAGAGAAAGGAGGAAGACATAACGATTCTATTGAGCCTCTCTTACGCAATAACGAGTGATTTTATCGCCTTCTCGGGAGGCGCACATAATTCCGCGGCGACGGCCATTATATCATAGCGCTGGCAATACTCATCGTGGCGTATTGACAGCGTTTCATCCCATTGTCACTCTACCCCAGCATTGTTCAGCGTCGAGAGTCCGTGTTGACGGTGCTGAGATGTAAGCAGTCGCTATCAACCGAACGGGATGACAGCATCGAAGATAAGAAAACCGTCGAGCCATCGTATGCACAGTCATAGGTCTTAAAGAGTCTCGTCTCGGCTTAATTAGCGCTGGCCTTCGTGATGAAAAAAATACAAAGTGAATATCGCAAAACATGTATATTGCAAACGTAAACTGCATTAATGACTTCCCTAGAATGGAATTTCATTCTAAAAAGTGAAAATTCAAACAGTCTCTTGAAAAAGAGTGGCCCAATTTTCAATCCTCACGAGTGAACTTTTACTCTTCAGAATAAGAGTCATTCTAAAAGTTTTGGAGAGTAAATAATATTATAATTCTCTTTTATATATTAATGTGTGTGTGATAAACATCACTTCTTGAAACAATAATATCGATTTGGAACAGCAAACGATAACGTTAATGATGCACATTGTCTCTTAAATATGATCGTCTCTCTTATCTCGTAAACATTCAATAATCCAGATTCCTATCGCACTCATTGTCAGAGATAAACGATACGAAATATCGATTCAAGATTAAAGCCGTCAAATTTTACAATTTTTTTCTTGTGCCGTACATGCGTTTGAAAATCTAAATGTTTATGACGCAGATTCTTTTATGTATATATATGCGTTTAATTTTTGAAGGATTTATTTGAAAACTTTTCGAATTCGAGTTTTGTTTCGCATCCCATTTAACTTTTACATTATGAGAAAATCACTATATATAGTGATACCGAAACAATGTTATATTTCGAGGCAAGAAATGCAGACTGAATTTATAACAAATCTTACTCAAGAAAGAACTGTAAGATTTTAAAAGTAGTCCTTCGCCATTTGAAGTTTAAAAGTTAAAGAAGCTTTCCCTTTTTATCCCCAAAATTTTTGCTTTAGATGAAAATATTCATAAATTATCTGTAGCAATTTATTCAAACTTAGATTCAAAAAGCTCTTTCGGCTTTTTAATCGTTTCACTATCCATTTCGAAGAACCTTTTACCTTTTATATTCTTTAAATAAACGATTTTCGTGGAATAAAATTTGTGTAGAATAATTTGTTTCGAGCAGGTAAATTTAACTTTCTGTTTTTCCTCTCTTTTCCCTCCAACGTTTTATTATACGTTCCTTTCGTTTCGAGAACAGAGAGGTGCACAGCATGGTGCAAAGGACGGACCCCTTCTTTCGTCTGCCAAGGGTGACGGTTTACACTGTTTACAGTGCCGGGCCTGAATGATTCACGGGCCCCGCCATAAAGCAATGAGCATCTTGCGCTTGGGTTGGCACTGCAGCACACCGGATGGACGATACTACTCGAGAGTAGAAAGGAAAGGTCGCGCGGTCACAAGTGCAGCTGCACCCGGCTTAAACATATAGCGGGGTGGCCGGCGAGGCCAAGCATTTAGAAGCATTAGGGCTAAGGTAGCAGCGCTGCTCCAAATGCAGTCACTCCGTTGCGACTACTTTCCTTCCGAACAACAATGGCCTTTTGCTTTCTTTGCCCAACCCCTTCCTCCTTCCACCCTCAACCTTTCCGCCAGCCCGGTGTTGCTCGATTCGTCTTTCGCAACGTTTTGCGATGCAAGGCAGACCGACGATGCTTCCAAACGTATGAGGTCTCGCGGTTATCACAAATCATCGTTAAGTTATCAGTGATGAGTCACATGTGAAAAATGCATACACGCACGTGAAATGTAAAAGACACACTATACATGTGAAGATTGTATCTCACATTTTGATAGCACGTTATTATAGCGCGAAAATCGATCTTTTGGTCGATGTAAAACCAGTTTACCTTCAACAAAAATACAACGTTTATATTTCACGAGTAATTAAACATATTCATAATACACTACGATGAAATTGACCAACTTCCTTCCGGGGCCTGTGTTTTTTTTTTTTTTTTGTTTGACAGCAGTTTTAAGGTAATACAATGTAACACGTTTAAAATGTATTCAAACGAAACACGAATCATCATGGCATCAAAATGACATAAAAATAGTTCTAAAGTGATTACTAAAAGTCACTTTTCAATCAGTTACGATTTTAACGTTGATTTATTTTGACTTGTTCTACTCGGATATATTTATTAGTGGTGACAAATACATCCAATTTTTCATACAGATCAGAATAAATCGAACCGTTTTGTTTATTTTGTGATGAAATTATGACAGACTCGCGAAAATCTGTTATAATAATATAAATTTTTAGAATACTTGAACAAGTTCAAATGTATTCAAAGCATGCTTTCGTTCTTTTTTAATATATCTTCTATTTCTGACATCTTAGCGAGCTATATGAATAGATCTCACGTATCTCGAGTACATGCGAGAATTGGCGCGAGTCTCTTCCTTTGAGTCTTTTCCTTTTTGGACCTCTGGTGGCGGACCACCAGCCATTGGCTACACGGAGCCAAAAAGTAATTGTTGTACTTACGTACGGTATTTTTCTGTGTGTAAATTTCTCATTGTGCGTGTGGAGGGCTTACTAAAGAGAATGGGTGTGTATCGAACAGAAAAAAATCAAACTCGAACTTCGAAAATTGGATTGATATTTTATTTCGTTTACAATTGTACCATTTTACCATTTATGTGCAAATGTACATTGTATTTATTAACGTAGCGACAAAAAAAAAGCCTAGTTTTTAACATATACATACGTAAAAAAAAAACTTATACATGTATATTAAATTTCCATAACAAGAGTACAGATCGTAGGAGAAACGTGTTCTATTCCCTCCTTTCTGTGAAATATGAATTTAAATTGCCGCGATTGGGCAAGCTATGACGCACGTGTCTTCACCGCCAGATCATGACAGCTGTTTGGAACAGTCATGCCTGTACGACGACATAAACACTATATATAGTGCGCGATATCATGCACAACTAATAGGCATCGTACGCTGTGCGAA